GGGGCACACGCACTCGCACCCCAGCCCGGGCAACCCGGGCTACATGATCCCGTGCAACTGCAGCGCGTGGCCCAGCCCCGGGCTGCAGCCGCCGCTCGCCTACATCCTGCTGCCGGGCATGGGCAAGCCTCAGCTGGACCCCTACCCCGCGGCCTACGCCGCCGCCCTATGACCCCGCGGGGCCGCCTCGCAAGGACCGCTGTGAATACGTGTACATTTGTATAGGTACGAGCTCTCCGGCCTCCCCGCGCGCCCTCCCGCGCCGGGGGCCCGCGTCTGTATGTACATAGGATGTATAGGTGCCAGGCCGAGGCAGAGACGCAAGTGGGTGCGCGAGTGGCCGAGCGCGCGAGTGCGCGGGCGAGTGTGCGTGTGAATTTACAGGATCTTTCCAGACCCGCACGAAAGGCAGCCAACTTTAAAGAGGGCGGTTGTATCCGGCAGCAGTCGGTGTGCGCTTTCACTTCGAAACCTGTTGCGTTTTTGCCCCCAGAGATCGAAGACTAACTTTTTGACGTGTTGGGCTTTCGAGTTTTGTTTGTTGGAAGTTTGATGGTCGGTTTTGTTTTCATTTTCTCCTTATCTTCCCCCCCGCCGCCCCCGGCTGCGTTGCATGCACTGTTCAAATGTTTAGGTCTGAATTTGCTGGCACGAGGAAAAGTTGATCTGTGTCATTCGTTACTCGGAGCGGGATGGCTCTGAGCAACCTTGGCTGCCCATTTGTACTACGTGAACTTTTTAGATCTCTGTTCTCTCAAGCAGAACTCCCCAGACCGGATCCATTCTGGACCAGTGACCGGCTCCAATCTGGCCCACGTATGTGAGAGGATCACGGTTTCTTTTGTTTATCACGCCATATGCAAATCAGAGCAAAAGCTCTTTCTGGAGAGTAAGAAACGCAAACAAATATGAGAGGCAAAGTTGACAATTGGATCCCCTCCCCTTTTTTTTTTAACTAGTATTCTTTCTGAGTCACCGCTCTTGGATTTCTGACAGTTTACAAAAAGGGGAAAGGCACGGTTCCTATGTTCTCCTTATGGCGAGCTCACCGTAAGACTGTAAATGTGTGTATGTCAGTGAAAACCTTGGAGTCTTTGAAAACGTGTTACTTGCCTTGCCCTAAATTTGAGTCGGTTTTAGACTCAAAAGCATTTTGAGCAAATGTCAAAGTTAACTTATAAAAATTGCGGAACTATTTCAGAATCGCAATTTTACCTAACATGAAATCAGACTTTTTTGTCTGAGTGGTAATTATATATTTATTATTTAGCAAACCCGAAAGAAAGAAGAAGAAGAAAAAAAACAGAATTGTTTTGACAGATATCTCTCATTTTCAGCTAGCATTTCCCCCACAACCTTGGTCTTTTTAAATGTGTTTCGGAGTTCCCTCCCGATTAGCTTATTTTTTCTATCACCTGCAATTCATTTGCAAATCGTGATAAAACACATTTTAGAAAAAGAACTTTCCTCAATTATAGGTTTTTTGGGTTTCTTTTTAAATGTATATAGTTTGACTAATGTTTGTGAATGAAGCTGGCTAACATGTATTTAGTTTCATTTTGGCTTTCTGTAATATAAAGTTTAAAAAAAGTTTAAGTATTGGTTTTAACTTTTATGTGTAAATGGTTTTTTGTGTGATCTTCTAATTTAATATTAGATGTCTAAACTATATCTGTAAATTAGAATCCGACTATCACTCTGTTCATTTTTTTGAACAAAGAGTTTAAATAAAGCCTCAACCAGGGAAAAGAGAAAACCCTCTATTTCTTGTTGAGTTCCTAACAAGATTTTTATCTGAATTGCCCTTACGTGCCTGGTCCAGGTGAAGTGTAAGATATCCTCCAAAGGCAGCCTTTGTTTCACTTTTGAATAGATTTACTAGGAAATCTAAATCAAGCCATTGTTATTCAGAGCCAAAAACCTCATTTATCACATTTTTAATCGTGAATAGGAAAGAAGATAAAAAAAAAAAAAAAACCCAAGTAGTTGTATTATCTTTAAAAAAAAAAGGCATTCATGAACCAGTAGAACAGAGCCTTTGAAAACATCCAGATCGGTCAAAGCATTTCACCAGTTTCCAGTAACATTTTAAGAGGGGAAAGTTGCCCGACCACTTTATCTTGTTTGTATGAGAGCCCCACCACTTAAAGCAATGTAATTTGTTCACGTATCTTTGGGGTATTCCTTATTTACACCTCACGGTTTTATTTGGAAGTGTAATCACTGCTAACGACAGTGTACAACTTTTGGCCTCTTTACGGCTCTATTCTCTCATGCTAATGGCATTAAAATTGAAGTATAATAAATAGTAATGAATGGGCTTGCATTTCCAGGGCTAGGCAGTTTCAACTGGAGAGGGATTTAAAGTCATAAAGGATTTTAATTTTGGAAAATAAATTATAAGGCACCTCGAAGGCTATCATAGAAAAAATTAGCTGTAGGGAGATCTTTTTTTCCCCCCATCTAGATGGAAATTCTCTTGGCTCAAATAGTCGTAAACTAGTGTCCTCATTGACTGGGGACATCTCTTGAGCTGCACGTCTTTATAAGGACCAAAGTCTTTAATGTCATTGTTTTCCCACAACGGAATAATATTTTAAAAACCATGAAAAGTTTTGGGAATGTGAGAAATAGGTTCTGCTGGTTTGACCCTGATTCAGTAATTAAAACGATCCCTCTGCTGTTATTCCCCGAGCTCTGTGCAATATTATAAGTTAATTCATATGGTTCTGAGCGATTATGCAAAACTAATTTGGACCGTCCAGGGGTAATTATCCCTGACACGGTTAATTAAATCCTTTCAAGTCTTCGTCTTTCCCTTTTGTAGCAGCCCATCACTTCTCAACGCGGAACTTCCTGCGGCTCGCTGGAAATCACCCCAGCCCTAAATCTCAGTTACCTCCCTGAGCCTTCCAGCCCCCTCCCGCCCCCTCCTCTTTCTCGCAAGATAGGCGTTTTCTGGGAGAAACGCTCCGGAGTGTTGCTGAATGAGAAGAGCTCTAGAAAGATGGGTGAGGGGGTAGATAGGATGCTGGGGATGAGAACACACGGGTCACATTGCCAACAGATTGTGTGTGTTTGAATTGAGTACGTCCACAGGCCCCAAAGACTCGATTATCACCAACTCTGAAGCCATTGGTCTGGTAACAAGTTGACGGGTTTTGCGCCTCGAGGAAGCCTCCCGCCAAGTTAGACTGCAGAAGGGGGGCGGGGGGGGGAGCTCTGTGGCAAAAGGGCGTGGGGAAAGGTCTGGATTGATGGGGGTGGGCTGGAAGAGTTCCTTTCTTCCTTCCTTCCCTTCACTTCCCTTCCCTTCCCTTCCTTCCCTGCTTCCTTCCCTTCCTTCCTTCCTGCCTTTTTTCGTTTCTTTTTAAGGTTTAAACAAGCCACACTTGTTTGGTAGTCACGGTTGCCTAAATGCTTTCAAACAAGCCCGGTGGAGGGACCAGGCGTGTTGCCTTTAGGCTTTGCGCAAACAGGTGGAATTGTTCTGCTTAAGGCAGAAAGACGACGCTGCGGTCCGAGGGGCTGCCTGCGGGGCGTAGTGGAGCTGGCGGGTCTGGTTACTCCGTGTGACGGTACCCCTCCCCCCACCCCCAGACTCGAACAAAACTGCGCCATCCCCCTCTCGCCCGCAGGCTGGGGGCTGCGTTTGCGAGGGACGCCGAAGATGGAGACAGGAGTCACCTGGCTTCCCCGAGCGGAGAGATGGGGACCCGCGCGCCAGCCAATCAGAGCGCGGCTCGGCGCTGGCGCCCGGGGCCGCCGCGTCCTCCCGGCCGGCGAAGTTTCCCGCAATTCGCTCGCCCGGAGTGTCGGTGGCTTTCCTGCGCCCAGAGCCCAGCGGAGGCACAGATAGCACCGTGCAAACTTTATTAATCTCTCCCCCGGTTCTTTTTCCCTCAGCCTAGTGCGTCTCAAAGGTCAGCTCTCTTCTTTAAAAAGACCGATATTATTAATTCACGGAGAATTCCCTCCCCCCCCCTTTTCTTTTTCTCTCTTGCAGGGGGAAAAAAAGGGGGGGAAATAGTGAAAAGAGCTTTTTTTTTTGTCCTTCAGTGGGAGCGTTTAGACAGTCGAGGAGGTTTTGTCCGGGAACAAAACGCAGGGTTGGGAGGTTTTGTGAGAGTGTTGTTTGTTGAAGTGGCGCTGAGAAAAAGCGGCGGCTTTCTCCTCATTGTGAAGAAACCAATCAGTGGTATTTGGAAAACTGTTAGCATTGTGCACTTCTTCTGTGTCCATTGTGAGGCGTTTCTTTTCACAAGGTTTTTTTTTCAGCCGATCCAGCTGGCCGGAATGAATAGCGGTGCAATGTGTACACGCTTTGTCCCTGCGGCCTTCAAGTAGCCCTCATTGAATAGACTAAGTTGACACTGCATGACGGTGAGACAACATAATAAAAAATACATGAGCCCCTGAATAGGAGCAGGCGCATAAATAAATAAAATGGGTGACCAAAACTGGATAAACTGAATGACAAAACGGTGAAAGGGGAACAAAAAGATATTTAACACGCTAGATTAGCATTAGAATGCAATCTACAAGGCAGAACAATTGATGAATAGCTTTACCGGCCAAGAAAGAAATGGACTAAATGCCCTTCGAATAGATATGCTTTTTGCAAGGGCTTTGAATAGATATGCTTTTTGCAAGGGCTGAATGGGAAAAGGTAAAGATGAAGCTATGCAAATGAGCGGGGGAACTTTTTATATATATTCTTTAAACACACACACACTGCGCTGAAGAATGCTGCCTCGGGATGTTTATAGAAGCAATAATTGCCATTATTAGCATTGTCTGCAGCAGATAGAAATTGAACAGGTCGGGATAATATAGGGTAGCAGTAATTATTCTTCTAATTAATGGTCCTTCGCTACTTGAAAAAAAGAAAAAAGGAAGAGAGAAGTAAAAAGTTATGCTGAAGTTATGTTCCCTTGGGTCGGTTCGCCCCGCCTTGGAATCTGCCGAGCAGCGAGTCCCGCGATTCCAGAATACGTGTTGATCTTAAAGCCTTCCAGGGAGCCAGTGTAGGCTCGGATTTGGGGCCTGATTTCCATTACGCTGCATTTTTGAAGTCTGACACGGTGTTGGCACATAGTAGGTGCTCAATAAATATTTGTGAAATGAATGAATGTAAGGCCTCCTTGCTGAGGTGGAAGTGGAGGGATACCA